GACTTGCCTTTTACTCGGCATACATTGTTTGAAGAACTGTTCAAGTTATTTTCAAATGATGTTTCTATTTGCCAGACCTGATCCCTGAAGTTCTTTTCTCACAGTTGCCCAAGATCTGCTTTACTAAAGGAGCTACACTCAGCAGCAAGTTTTCCAAAATGGGTTCGAACTGGAGAAATCTGTGTTCCCTATGCTGTGAGAAATTTCAGGGGCAAATTTCAACGATGAAGGAAAAGGAAAGCATACTTGCTTGCTTCAAGTCAGGACAGGAACTTGTCTTCCTGTGTGTGAGAATGTAGTTTATGTGCATCGCTTCACTGGTCACTTTTTTATCATATGAGGAAAGCATTTCCCATGTATCATTAAAGGACTCTTAGGCTCCTGAGTGTGTTGTAAATGCCAGTTTATCTTTTAATTTTGTTTCACTGATGTTTCCTTCCACATGAGAAGTGAGGCATTTGATTACCATTGAAGGCAGTTAAAGTTTTCTCTGCTGACATCTTCCTAAACTCTGTAATTTTATGATGTTTTTTTTCTGATTTCCAATTTATCCCACTGCAGTTTTCATTGCCTGATTTCACGTGGTGCTCAGGCCCTGTGATTAAATAATGTACATTCTATGAAAATTATTTGATGCCAGAGAGGAAGCTCAGAGTACAGGAAATCATTAACACGCAAAAAAACTTGAGCACCAAAATAACTTTAATTAGAAGCTTATTTCAAAGAACTACCACCTGCCTCTCATTTTGTCTTTGCATTAGCTCTAAAAATACATTGTGGCTTAAAAGTGTGATGTAAATATATTCATATCTGGAATATATTTTTCATAATAAAACTACAAAACAACAGTAGCTAGTCTTGTGCTTAAAAGTAACTCTCTCTGACTAAGGGACATTCCTCTTGAGATGCAAGCTGCTGAAACTATGTAGAGTACACTAAGTGGTACCATCTGATATACAGAAAACACTGTGGTTTATATTTTCACTTTATAAATGTGTCATTGGCAAGGCCAACTGGCTGCAATAAGCTTTTTTGAAATGGACATTTCTGGTTGAGTGTTTGGAAGACTGCATTTCTCAAAGCGAAACGTAGCAACTCCATTCACTACACACACATTAAAAACAAATGGCTGAAGGAAATAGGTTGACCTATGAAAAGTGGGAAATAGGAGTTCACACACAATTTAACATTCTTTAATTGTGCTTTACATGTAATAGTTTGGATAACTGGAGTTTGAAGCATTAGTACAAGCTAGTTAAATTCCAAATTTGAAAATTAGTGAGTAGGAACAACACAATTATGATGAACAAAGTGGTGGGTATATTAATAAGTGTTGCTGTGCTTTTAAAAGCCAAAAGAGTGATTGCTGATTTAGTCTTGTGCCTCTGTTTCTTCAGACAGTACAGTTCAGTACTACAGTGTACTTGCAAAACATTGCTCTAAAGAACTTGTCATATTATGTCATGTCATATCATATTGTGTCACTACTGTGTAAACAGGAGAGATTTTAACAATGAGATTTGTGTGTGATTTTGGTTATGCATGCTAAAGATGAATGCTTCCATGTTTCACATGACATGTAGCTTCATATATATTGCAGGAAATGCTGTAGTGCTTCACTTCATCACTTTCATGATGTTATGGAATTGGTAAGAAGATTGATGTTTATAATATAGAGAAGAACAGAAGCTATTACTCTTTGTTACTTAAGCAGCAGCCTCAACGTTTGTAATGACTTTTGCTTTTTTCTGTTATTTGAATTGTAATATGGCTACTAGATTATCACTTTGTATCAATTGTATCTGCTATAGTTTTCATCAGAAGAGTAGAAATTAACAACTTAATAGTATATTTTAGACAAGCTTAAACCCCAAAGATTTTGGCCAGCAGTTGTCTAAGAGACAGTTTTCTTACTACTATCATTATAACCAGGAGTACCTGAAATTTAATTATATTACAAAATAGATAAGATTTCTGTGGTAGTAAGGGCATTCACTTTGCAATTAATGTCTTTTACTTTTGGTCTATATCAAACAATGCTTAGAACTTTTCAAAATGTAATAGCAATTTGGTAAAAATTTAAACATACATAACATTGTTATTTTTTTCTGTGACTTAAATTGTTTTATTTACAGTTTTAATTTTTCATTCTTGTTTTTTTTCCCCGACTTTATATCTTTCTGTGTTAAAAAAGATGAAAAATAGTCAGCCTTAAAACCCCCAAAGTACAAGTGTGTTCTACCACTGTGCCCTTCAACATAAAAATTTCAAGCTGCTATCTGTAATCCATTTGTCGTCAGGTTATGGTGCCAGGGAGTCCCCCTGAAGTTAGATATTGAAAGTTAAAGTTCAGGAAATAGGGCTAGTGGATGGCTGCAGATTTCCTTTGTAGCACACTACTGATGGAAGGAGAATTCATAGCAGACTTTGGAAGGGGATTTTAAAATTCTCTCTACCCAGACTTACAGGGTTGTATTGAGAAAAGTGTAGGATAGAAGTGGAACCACACAGCTGGCTACTGTGAAGTGGTGAGAGGGTTTACAGTGCCTGATGCTGAATGTGATTTTGAGGTAACAAAGGGAGAAGGGCTGTGGTCACACGGACACTTGGGTTATGAAGCATGGTTTTCTTGCACATCAAACAAAAATGCCACTAGTTATTTGTAGTAGCCAGTGACTATACTTCAAAATAACCATATCTGAGAGAGTGTGGTGACAACTAGTGGGCTAGCACCTTTTACTAGATATCAGTGTTTATACTAGTTTCTAAGGGAACTTTTGTAGGTTAATAATTATTTTATACAGCTGGCTCATTCGTACCCTTTCTAGACTGCATCATCAGTGTGATGATAATGTCAGCAGCTGTTGGGAAGTAGAAGCTGGGTATCATTAACATTGATAGCATACCAGTACAAAACTGCTCAATTTTCCCTGCTGGTTCCTAGTCTTGTCTGATCAGGAGCATGTGATAGGACTAAATCCTGTGAAATTTCACAGCTTAGAAGGGACAGAAATCTAGTGTAGATGCCTTGGAGTAGTTCAGAGATAAAAGACAGAATGACTTCTTTGAATGTCTGATTTGAATGATTCTTCTTTTGACATCATCTAGTCCAGTCCCACTTCCTGAGCAGATTTGGCTAGAAGTTGCTTAGGATTGTGTTCTGAATACAGAACATACAGAACATGTTGTATTTTCTGTATGTCTATGGGAGAAGAATTTACAACCTTTCTGGAAAACGGGCTGTAGTGTTTGATGACCTTCACAGTAAAAAACAAAACAACCAAAAAACCCAAAACAAAACAAAAACGACAAAAAAACCACCAACAAAAAACCCCTCCAACCCATGTTCAGAGAGAATTTCATGTGATGCAGTTTGTTACTGTTTACTTTAGTCCTGTAAGTGGATGCCACAGAGAAGAGTCTGTCTTGCTTGTCTTTTCACTGGAGACTGAAAGATTCAACTTTGCCTCAACCAAATGAGCAATCTGAATTGCGCTTTCAAATGTCTTTCTTATCATGTGTTTGTTATTTGTAATAGGGTTTATGATATGTTATGAATTATATGCAGAATCTGGAACAAAAGGATTTTTAGAAAATGGGAAAATCGGAAAAAGAGATGAAGGAAGGGGGGGGAAAGGAAGGACCCTGCTGCTTTATCTTCCTTCTTTTTTTTCCCCCTGTTTTTACCCTAATCTAAATTTTTACTGTGTATTTCAATCACAAGGACAAGTAATACAACATACTTTCTGGCCTTTTACACTATTTACTTCTAAGTAGTTAAAGTTTCTGTGAAGAATCACAGTGGAGATGAACAATGTTTTGCACTGTACATTTGTTGCATTTCAGATATTGAATATTTCTTTGACTTCTGTTAGCTTTTTGGAACTGTAAGAATGAACTTTTAGTCTATTTTTGTTTTGCTTCACCTTCTTATGTTAGAAAACTCATTAAAGGATTGAGGGTGGAACTTGATGAATAGACAATTTATTTGGGTTTTTCATGCATACGGAATTATTCCTTAGACAAAATAGAGTATTTTAATTGAGGTGAATAGACATTTCGGATTACATTTGAATAGACAATAGATATTTGAATATTTCATGTAGTGTTTGCAAGGTAAGAGCTAATCTATGAATTCAGGAGAGATGCATCTATCAGCTTCAGAAATTGTTAGTCCTAATGGTATAGCTCTCTTTGAATGCCTAAAAAATACTGTTTGTACGAGTTGTTACTCTTGCATATGAAGTGCATAATCAGCTTTTGATCTAAGAAATCTTCCCAATGAGACTTTGAATTTAGATTGGTGTACTTGAGGCATGACAAGCCGTGGCTTATGTCATGTCTTATGGCTGATGAATAATGCATGAGGCTTGAAGTAATTTACTTCAAGCTGCAATTTTTTTATTTGATATTTTTTAGACTTGCTGGTAATACAGAGTTGGACTTTTTTTTTTTTTTGCTTTTTCTTTCCTTAAGAACAGAAAATGTGAATGTAAAACATGGAAGATATTACCATTTTGTATTATTTTCACAATACATATTTGTGGGTCTTTCTGTTATGTTGCTTAAGTAGACTTGAAAGAATTGAATTGGTTAATTTAAACCACAGTTGTTATGACTGCTTGTAAGGTATGGAAGCATTTAGGAACCAGAATAATTTAGTGTTATGGGAATATTGAAACATTTCTTTAAACAGAAATTATAATAGTTATATCCTTAGGAATTTTGTTTTGAAATAAAGTATCTTGCTGCTTTTTTTTTAACGTATTCTGAATGTTATTCCCCTCCACAATCTAGTTTGTTTATTTTAGAAAGTAAGCTTTTATTGAGGTTGGAATATTTAGTGTTTTTCCTTGTAGTAAACACTGCCATAAATGAAAATTTGCTTTTGTTAGGATTACTTATGAGTACAATTTTAATTTACTCACGGTTTTAATATTAAAACTACACAAATAATGTTGCTTTGTTTGCTTTGTGTTTCTTTCTCTTGCTTCCCTTAGGTCGAGATTTGATCTGCATACAGTCCATGGATGGGATGCTCATGTTGTTTGAACAAGAAAGTTACGCTTTTGGCCGGTTTTTACCTGGTTTTCTTCTGCCTGGTCCTTTGGCTTACAGCTCTCGCACAGACTCTTTCATTACAGTCTCTTCTTGTCAGCAGGTTGAGAGTTACAAGTATGTGTTTATGTTCAGTAATTATAGTCAATTTTGGTGGTATCATTTACTAGGAAAACACATTGAAAGTAATGTTTAATTTTTAATGCCTTTGCTGGAGTATCCAAAAGCAAGTAGTTGCAGGAAAGATGTTATATGCTGCTGAGTGATGACTGTCTCAGTACAGTCATAGAAGAAAGTGTGCTGTGAGTCCTGAGGACTTTATGGTCCTATTTGGTTTTTATAAAGGTAGTAAGTCTACTAGTTTATCAAGGCTCTGTTGCTCCCAAGTGCCAGGTTTTTTTCCTTGCTTCAGTTCAGTCCAGTCTGTGCTTTCAGCACTGGAACATGGATGAAACTGTTGTGAGCTGTTTTAGCTTGTGACCATATTAAGTTTATGGGCTCAACATTTAGAAAAATAGAACAATATGGAAAGTGAAGACTGTACAAGACATTTCCACTTCCTCCAAGCAGAGGGTCTGTGTGTTATAAGGCCAACCAGACACAAATCTAATAGATAATAAGAAAGAGAATGTGAAAGATTTTGATGGACAGGCAAGGGAGCATTTGGGTTTACTGTGGAGGACCAGCTTGAGTCCATGGGGCTCTCTGATGCAACCATCATATTGAGAATTTATCAAATATCCATCTGTTTAGAATCAGATGGATGCTTGAGCAGTGGGACATTGTGGTGGATGTCTGCTGTGAAGCCTTTCTCAAGATGTTTCCCTGTTGCAGACCCTTGTTCTCACAGAGGACTAATGTTAGGGTTATAGACTCTCTATCCCTAGCAGTAAATTGGGGTGGGGTGGTGTTTGAGGCAGAGCTACTACCTGTGATGAAAAAAATCCACGCCCGCTAAAATGGATGAAAAAGTCAGAGCTGTCAGTCTGCTCTGTAAGAGCAATAGTTGTTCACAGTTCTAACCAGCAGGCAAAGATGAGTGATGGTGATACTGAAGCCAGTATTTCCTTAACATCTTCATCATGGATAGAAGGACAATGCATGTCCTGAAATTCAAGGACAGTGTCAAATTTCTGGAAGTGGCTCATACAAGAAAGTTAGATAGGGTGGCCATTCAGAGGAATCTCATGAGGCTGAAGGAATGGGCAAGTACCTTAAGGATTTTTTTCAGAGGTAATCATACATATTGAAGAAAATAAGAATGCTCCTTTTTATAAATAATGCTGTGGGAATCTAATCCAGAGAATGTTAGTTAAACACAGTGCTTTGTCACACAACCCTGCTTTGTCACCTGTAGTTCTCAAGCAATATTCTTTTCATTTTGCTGCTTAAGATTAATCCGATTATAGGTATCATGTATTGTTTTCTTAAAACTGGACAAGATATACATGCTGCAAGTAAAAGTAATTTAATAAGCAGTTAATAATTTTCCTAAGAATTTAAATTCTAATACAATATTAGAATAAAATTGTAATATAATCTATTAATGCTGTCAAGGAATAAAGAAACATTTTTTCCTTTAAAATGAACATCTCACATGTTTAAATTATGTTCAGATTCTTGACCTTTACAAAAGATGTGGCTACAATTATTCGTCAGTCTGTTATTAAATCAAAAGCGTGCCATCGTTACTGTAGGGATATAGTTGTAAAGGAATTTTTCACTTGGTTATTGGTCTTTAACGTCAAATGTTAAGACACTAATGGAACTAATCTCTAGTGTGTGTCTGAAATATTAGGACATTAGAACAGAGTTAAATAATCCTTTTAAAGTGAAGGAAATAGATATACTAAGGAGAGAAGAGGTTATTTTTATGGTATTGAATAAAAAATACAACAATTGTGCTAGTGCTTTTAGCAGAACAAGTTGCCAAACTTCAAATTACCCATCTTCTTATAGCTCTTACAGACCAATTGCCTCATTTGATAGCAATTTTTGCTGTGTTGGTCCTGAATTCTTTCAAGATCTAAATGCAAAATGCCTCTTATATGCTTGATGTGATAGCTGAATTGAAAGTTTGTGTTGGTCATCTGTGGCTTGAGTTTTTTTTCATTACAGACTATATGCAGGTAGCTGGTACTTACATATCAGTATGTATTGCTGTTTGATGTGAGCTTGATTTGAAACCTCTGTATTAGGTCTCTGATTAGTTATTAAAATGTTATTGTGCTTTCCAAAACTATCAGTAAAATACAGTGAAGAGAAAATTTTGTTAGGTCAGGATCCTTCTTACTCCTTAACTCAATTTATTCAGTGATTCTGTGAATCTGCAGCTTCTCTTACAAATGTGTTAAACTGAGAAAGGGAAGTAAATTCATTCATACAGAGGGCAGTTAAAGACATCCTAGTTGTACTAAAAGCAGCTCTCTCAGTATTATTAAATAGGTCATAGCATTCAACTTAAACAATTAGATTTTTTTTACTCCAAGTACATAGTTTACCTTTGTAAGTAAAACAATTTTAGAAACTAAAATCCTTCAGTAGCAAGCAGAGAGTCACTGGATAGTTAGGTTTGGAAGGGACCTTTGGAGATCATCTAGTGCAAGCCCTCTGCCAAGCCGCCTGCCAAGACACAGGAATATCCAGTTAGGCTGTGACTGTCTCCAGAGAGGGAGACTCCATGACTCCCCAGTCAGCCTCTGCCTCCTCCCTCAACGTAAAGAAGTTTTTTGTCATGTTGAGGTGGAACCTCTTGTGTTTTAATATATGGCCATTACATCTTGTCCTTTTGCTGCCCCACAATACATTCATGAAATATGAAGAATATTGTTGTCATCATTTTAAATCTCCAACTTTGACAATGAGGAAAAATATGTACTGCTATTTTAGATTGAATTGGAACATTCAGAGTTGTGTTGCTTTAAGCTTCAGAGCTGATGGTACTCCATGACTTTTTGGATCAGTTTAAGTGAGGTCTTATCCTATTGTTTATTTCACTTATGTAGAAACCTTCAGTATTCTACAGATTACCTATGTGCATACAGAAGAAATGGGGTAGATCAGTGAGTTAGGATACCAGCACAAATTCAGGAAAGAGTTGCAGAAAAATCAGTGAGGATGCAGTTCAAACACACAACTTTACATAGTTGTAAAGAGGACAGATAGATGTGCAGAGTTTTTATGGCAGTTGATGTTGTTTGTTCAAATGTCTTCATTGCCAATTTTTCTTAGCATGGTTTGTTGGCAGTTAAAATAATAAAACCTCCCCAAAACTTTCAACTTTTGCTAAATGTGCCACCAACTCATTTCAGTTTACTGTGGTCTCTTAGATTGGAGCCACTTAAGTTTGCTTAATGGAGCTGCTTGTAAGTTTCACTATTAGATAGAGCAGATTGTATTTCTGAGTGGTTTAGAAGTTTTTTGAAAGCTTAATAAGAGCAAGAAAAAGTAATTTTTTATTAGAATTGCTATTTCATCATTTGATAATTTGTTTCTTCTATCTTTGTGGTCTGTACTTCTATCTACTAATATTTAGACTGTTGAATTTATTTTAACTCCACATAAAATCTGAATAGAAATGCTTGTTTTAATTTCTACCTTTACATTTAGCTGCTATCCTACACTGATGCTAGTCTTAACATCCTTGCTGACAGTAGGCATGTTGTAGTAGGCTTTCTAACCATCCTCTTAGGCTGTGATTTTACTGTGTATGTGTACTCATGATAATAATATTTTATTTTTTACTTAATGTAGAAGGTAACTACAAAGATACAATTCTAAAAAAATATTTTTTAACTGCCTGTAACAGATACCAAGTGCTGGCATTTGCGACAGATGCTGATGAAAGACATGACACAGAACAGCGAAAACTCAGTTCTGGGAAAAGGCTTGTGGTAAAACCCGTTTATTTTACATCCCCTGTATGGACACTGCACACATATTGAAATGGCTGACGCTAGGTAACGAATGGAAACATTGTCTGCTGACAAGGGACCTCATCCAAGTGCTGCTAAAGGCAATGGAAAGACTCCAGTAGATTTCTATTAAGGTTTCTTTGGGCCTCAGTTGTTTTAGGCTGGGCCTTAAAACTTGCTGTTGTTCTAATGAGAAAAGAAAAACAACTGCAGTGAAAATAACTATTTCCAGGGCAATTTGTAATGCAGAACCTACACTGTAGTAAAATAGATAAATAGGTACACCTGAATTATTGCTCATGTTTTTAAATGAAGTCTGATTGTGACTTTGTGTTGTAGAAAATGAATCTCATTCTCCTTAGGGAATCCTTTGTACTTAGAGAAGAATTCTCAGTGAAATCTTTCCATACATAGTGTCCTGAACTCTCTTTGTCAAGAACCTGTGGGTTCAGTAGTCTTCTGGAAGTCCCTGTCAGTAATTTGTTTAATATTTGAGCTGCCTCTCTGTAAGATGAAGAGAATTTAATGCTTTGTGGTCCTGCAGTAGAATTGCTTGGCTGCTAAATATACTGCATATATAAAATCCTAGAGTCATCATATTTCAGGTACAACAGTAAAATCTTGGGAGAGCATCTTTCTTCCACTGACTAATTGTAGAATTTTTCAAATACTCGTAGGCTGAGTCCTCCATATAGAAGTAGGAGAAGGCAATTTATAAATAAAAAACCTGGAGATGTCATCAGATATACTGCAGATTAAACAGTTTTTTTTTAAATCTAAAATGTGAAGCATGCTTGGAAACAAATGTAGTAAGCTGGGTTTTTCCCTTTAACTTTTAAGATGGCACTTCAAGTTTCATATATCAGATATGCCAGGATGTTTGCTGACACATTCTATGCTCTTTAAGCAAAATAATTGGTGCTCTTCATATAGGAAGTGCTGACACTTGAACTTTGATATATTTTTACTTCAAAATTCTAAATTTCAGTTTAACCAGCTTGGCAAAAGTCAAAAGCATTTTTGCATATGTGTTTAGTTGAAATTTCTCAGAGGAGCTGAAGAAACAAACCAATGAAATGTGTCAATAAGCTGTAGTATTGTTTAATGACAGGTGGGGCAGGATTTCTAAGTAGTTGTTTATTATATCAATGTACATAGTTGGAGAAGTAAACAAACTATGACATACACCAGCATTTTCCAGATTAGAGGGTGTACATGAGTGTCTGCAAACATTGGCTTACACACCTAAAACATTTGTCTAGTTTTCCATTTACATATATTGGCAGAATCAGTTGTCACCATTTGCTCTTTGTCCTTGTCCTTTAATAACCAAGGACACGTAGTGTGGCAGATGAAAATTACTCTAAATATCTATTCTTGGATTCATTAGTTAAAGTATGAAGCATTTCCATTTTGAATGAGATGTGTATTTTAAATTCCAGATGTACTTAACTGTTTGCATAGCAAACAATTCATGACTATTAAGATGTTTTTGCTGCTTGAATCACATTAAGGAAAGCTACTGACTTTCCTCAGAATAAGAGGATAATTCTTATCCAGAGGAAGACCTTGATTTTGCTTTTCTATGTTAATGATGCGTAATTTGATTAGTTCTGAGTCTTTGTCTTTAATATGCAGTTGTCATTTGATTTTTGAAGCATGCCTTTTTTTTTTGAAGGTGGATTGGGTTTTAAACATTGGAGAGCAAGCACTGGATATATGCGTTGTCTCCTTTAATCAGGGAGCTTCTTCTGTTTTTGTGCTTGGTGAGAGAAACTTCTTTTGCCTAAAGGATAATGGGCAAATACGATTCATGAAGAAGCTTGACTACAGTCCGAGTTGCTTCATTCCTTACTGTTCAGGTTTGTAAAAGGAAAACTTAACTTTAGTTTGGTTACTTTTTAATTTTTTTTTTTTAACCACTGAATAAATATATTTTTCTGAATAAGCAGACTGGGGCATTGTGCAACCTGGTCTAGTGGAAGGTGTCCATGGCATTTAGGTTAGATATTAGGAAGAAATTCTTGAGTGTGGTGTGACACTGGAACAGGTTGCCCCAATGCTGGCAGTGTTGAAAGCCAGTTTGGATAAGGCCTTGGTCTAATGGGAGGTGTCCCTGCCCATGTTAGTGGGAGCTGGGACTTGATGATCTTTAAGGTCTGTTATAACCCAAGCCATTCTGTGATTCTGTGAGTCTATGATCTGTAGAATCATAGAATTTGGAACTCTCTTTTTGAACAAGGCAGGTTTATTTTCAAATGTTACTTTTTGTGAAGTGCCATAATTTTTAGAATCTAAATATTTTCTTATCACCAAATGAAGATACTTGTCTGGTGCCCAGCTATGAAAGCAACAAACATGGAAGAATGACAGTCTTTAGAAGAGTAAACTAGTGTTTGAGGACCTTCTGCTTGAGGACCTTTTGATTTACGACCTTCTGATATTTACAGATTCTTAAAAATATCAAAGTTTATTGTTATTACATTGGTGGAAACAACTTGGTTAGATACTTGGTTCAAATTATAGACTATTAATACCTATTCTCTTTTAATGTTTCAAAAACTATCGGGTAAGTTTTTGACAGTATGTCTCCTTTTGAACTTGAAATATAATTTTAATCTGAAGAAATTTGATCTTAGCAATCTTCACATTTTGTACTTTCTGATTTGAATTGTACTATAAATAAACCCTATAAATGCATGCACATTTAATTGGTATTCACAAGTGAAAGAATTAGTGAATAGTATAAATAGCAGACATTTAATCGATGTGTATTTTGTCATATCTATCCTGGTATGTCAACATGGCCATTATGAGTCTTTGTCATATTTTAAATTACCAAACATGGCTGGCCAGAACCCTAGAAAGTTGTGGCATGTATTGTGAAATATGCTATTAAAATTGGTGTCCGTAATTAATTACATATGTCCTTGGTTGTGTCAATGTAACTTTCCTAAGTTTTGATGCTTTATAATAAATTAATTTATAACAACTAATGGATTAAAAATAAAAGAAAACATAACTATAAAGAAAACTACTGTCTTTTGAAAAATCTTTCATCCTAAAATTGTTTTTTTGTCTTTGAACAGTGCGAGAAGGAACAATAAACACTTTAATTGCAAACCACAATAAAATATTGAATGTTTATCAAGATATTACATTGAAATGGGCCAGTCAACTTCCCTGCATTCCTGTATCAGTAAAAGTAGCGAATTTTCAGTAAGTAGCTTGTTAAAGTTTACTTTTTACTTAGATTAATCTCTGGTTTTAGATTTATCTGTGTATAGATCCTAACAAACAGATCTGAGGTATGTAACAAATAAGGTAACTTTTAAAGGGAAAATTCTAAATTTTTTTCCTTTGTTTTGTAAGATGTTCATTTTAATAATGAGTGCGTGTCCTGGGGTAACTTTATGATGCTTTATGTATGCTAGAACAATACTAGAATTGCTCTATTGTGCTTTAGATTTCCTGGTTTTTTTGAGTGAAGTTTGAACCTGGAATCACATAGCTCCAGGCCAGCAGCTTCTTTCTGAAAAGAATGAAAAGTGTGGTTGTGCAATCTGGCAAGGTCCTTCCCTGAGACAGAAAAATAGGGAAGCTCACTGAAAATCTGTTCTTCATTAAGTGTTTCAGAGCATATGCATTCCAGAAATGATTTGTTAGAACAGATTACTAAAATCCAGTGTTAAATTATGGAAATAAAGGAATGTTTAGATTGCTGAGGGCTGCACTGCACCAGAAGAAAACTCCTCCTAAAAGAAGCATGAGACAGATCAAGGAAAAAGTGATTGGGTGAAGAGAAGGTAGGATGTGTTTATAACTTGTGCTGGGACTGTCACTGAGATAAGCAAACCACAGAAAGGTTCAGCCAGTGTTTGTATACAGTCCAATTTATGCCTGTACTGTGTGCCCCCAGAGCTGGGCTGGGTGCTGGTTGCCCAGTGCCTATGACCATAGGGGATGCAGCAGGAGTGTCCTTGTCATGTAGATCTGATCCTCAGCAGGCTGGTGGCTGCTGGGCCAACATACACTGGATTGCTAAACATTTGATCATAAGTCAAGCATTTTACCTCCAAACAAATGGAAATAGAACATCTGACCAGCTCCTTTACTGAGTTGTGCAGAGTCATCTGATGGATATTTGTGTCTTGTTTGTTACTAATAGATACCAAATTTAAAAAAAAAAAATTATTCATAATTTATTTTTTTAGGAGAGAGTTGGGCTGGCTTTCATCCAACAAGATGTCTTAACAACTGAAAAATAATGAACAGTCTCAGTGGGCCACTTAGTATAACCCAGAAGCTAATTATACAGGATACAACAGTACAGCTTTTGAAGTATGGAAAAAAATATTTGAATTACAAAAATTTGAAAAAAACCACTGACGTTTACAATAGCAGATTGCACTAACATTTGTATATACAATTACTTGTTTGGGAACCCATTATATTGAACCATCTGTTTCAATAATGTGTCTAAAATGTTTATGCAGCTTCTGCCTGTTCCCTGTGAACTTCAACACTCAGCAGTTTGATATTAGGGAGAAATTTCAGAGCCTAAAATCTGTCCCAGCTCAATTTGCTAGTTAGAATTCCCACAGACCTACGAATGCCAGGGTTTGACTTGAGGTTGTGTTCTTTAGCAGGTAGAGAGGCAGCAATGCAGTGATGCAAAGCTCTTTATACAGGTACTGATGAACCAAGGAACATCTGTGTGCCTGCCCCCCATGGCCTGAAAGGCACTGGGAGAGATGCAGGGCTGTGTGTTTCTGAGCTATGATTTTACCTGTCTATTGGAAAATATGCAGTATGCTTGTACTTCCTTCTGGCATTAAAAAAAATGAGCTAAACAGCAAAAACTGTAGTAAAGCCTATAGAGATAGTAATTTGGCTTAAACAGGGCATATATGTTCCTTTTGGTGGGTTTTTTTTGTATTTTGAAAGGGAATTCCTTGTGAGTCAATGTGATAATGATTTTCTTGTACTCAAGAGAGACCTCCGTCTTAGTTGGGGCCTCTGAGCACAGCTCTACTGTAACATAAATAATATTAAGGACTTTAATAAGCATAAAGTTGTTAATCCTACACTGCTGAAAGACTGAAGTGCCTTAAATACAATGTGTGCCAATTAATTACTTTCTTCACTTTTATTGCAATAATACTTACAAAGTAAGTGGAGCACTCTGAAACAGTTGTCTCTACAGTTCATACATGTTCATTTGTATTTTCCCCTTGTCATAATGTCTGTTAGTTCTAATGTGTGACTCTAGCTTGCTGGATAAGAAAAACACTATTAGAAGCTATTTTATGTAAATCCCTTGGGATGGGAGTAATGATTGCCTCACAAAAGCATTGTGATTCCAGTGTATGCCCCTCATTATTTATGAATTGATTTTTCCTCTTAAAATAACATGTAATACAGTATTTCTCTATTGGAATACCAGTATATAGAAAAAGATAATAATATACTACAACATTTGAGATTAAATTCCAGTACAAACTGCTTGATTTCCATCACATTCTCAGAAACATGGAAGAAAAAATAGAATCAAGGAGAAGCGGTTACTTAGAATATTTTGGGTGTTTCTGCACTCTAAAAGTTATGTGTTTTTAAGCTGTTAAATTACACTTTTTGCCTTCTGTTAAAACCTCAATGCTCTCTGTCAGGATGTTGAAAATTTGCTTCAAAATCTTGTGATCAGAAACTTGAACTACAGGCAAAATTTTGAGTGCTTATCTTATTCTGGGTTTTTCCTGAATATCTCTGTGACTAGTCACTGAACTTCAAGTTCAGTTCTTGTAATTATTATAGAAGTTTGTCCCTTATTTTGTTGGAAGTTTATGTTCTGGTTCTGCTAATATATATTAGTTACTGTTTCTGACTTATTTTTAATGTCAAGGGGACTCCTACATATTTCACACTGCCTGGATTGCTTCAGAAGTGTAACCACTTACACTGACAATTTCAATTAATTTGAATTGCTTAGGTCTCTGTCTCAGCACAAATTTATCTTCCCATGGATAAGCCTGCTTGAACAGTTATATTTTTGTGTGCCTTGGGTTGTTATCCTTCAAGCTGTGGCTGTGCAAACACATTCTCACTGAAGCTGAAACTCTTGAAGAAAATGGTTTAGAAGAAGAAAGTGGTTCTGCCTGAGTTGATTAAAAATCCCCAAACATCCACCCACCAAATCCACAAACAGCCCCTCCCAAACCTTTCTAGAGTGGTTTGAAGAGAAACTGTCCATATGCTGCAGCTAAAACAGCTGAAATCTATGAAAGTTGCACGAAGGAATGATAAGAATCCCTACTCTGCTCAGAATTTCAGTGTTGAAATAGCAGTTGTAAGCAGCAGTATTTGCTTGGTATTCATTATAATTATGTAAGTATCTTCATAGAATTGACTTTAAAGTCCATTCCCTTTTTTCTTGCACTTGAGTTTCCATTTTTCTGTTTCATGAGAGACCTCTAAGACCTACTTTGTACCTCTGCATCTCCTTTGCAAAGGAAATTTTATAAGCAGTATCTCTTACACTTACAGATTATAAATGTTACAATTTTGTCACTGATTGATGCTTCTTGAGATGTGTTAAGATTTCTCTTTCTCTCTCTTTCTCTTCTCACTTTTTTTCACAAGTTGTATTTGTTTTCTGTATCTGAATTATTCTGTCTCCATGTTCTTGACCATAAAAGGTCCTTGGAGTAGATTATAATACCTAGACAACTATTTTTCTATTTATTTGACACTTGGCAGAGCTGTTTCACAGAGTGAATCTTTTAATGGCTGATTGATTGCACTGAGTATTAATTACTCTATCCTTGTTGGCCTGAAACTAGAACATTATGTTAAGGTGCATTTGGTCTGAGGCAAAATAGCTCATGTTGCCAGCCTCTGGGATATTTCTATCACAAACATCTGAAATGCCAGTGTGAGTTGAATTCAAACACATAGATACAGAATTATATATACACTTATTAAGAGTTTGGATGTAGTCTTGGGAAAGGGGTTTCTGTTTTGATTACTACCAAGTTATGAACCTGTGTTTTGCCATAGGAAAGCATGAAACCTTTAAATTGGGGACTATTTTTTTCTTTTTTTCCTTCTGAATATTTTTAACGTTCACTACTCTCCACTTTATTTCTTGGTTTTGTTTGTATACAGTCTTCAAGTTATATCTGATAAGCCGGTGAATGCCAAAAGGTAGCTTGACTTTTTTCTTTTAAAATGAAATGGACTGCAAACTTGCTCAAATACCTCTTCAAATCAGTGTTTCACAATGTGTCTAATTTTGGTTATTTGTGCTTTTGATTGTCCGCCAAAAAATGAAGTCTGGTGGTATACATATGGCAAAAAAATGTTGATTTCATGTGGAATTTATCAGCAGGCACAGTTCAAACAGGAAGCCAGCCTCAGAGTTTAGGGGGTGTGTTGTGGGAAAGATATTTCTTCCTTCTCTATTCTGCTGGGGACTCTTAGTACTTTAGTACTTTAGTTTATCACCAAACGTAATGGTTGATTGAAGGATATTTTCCCCTTCAGCCACATTAGAATTTAGTTAGTAATACCCAAAAGAAAAAATTTAGAGCCACTGTAGTGAGGCAGAGATTTGTGAGTTTGTGTTTGGGATAAGTCACCTGTTCTGAATATGGCAAATTGTGATTTAATTTCCCAAATTTGTGAACCCATTATTTCAAAACTTGTGGTTTTTATATAGAGTCAGTTGTGCATAATGTTGTGCTGTGCAGGGCCAGGAGCTGGACTCAGTGATCCTTGTGGGTCCCTTCCAACTCAGCATGTTCTGTGATTCTCTAGTACTTGTCTGTAGGTAGTTGGATGCTTTGCATATGCAGTGTCTCTTGTTTTTAGGAGCTACATCTGGGAATTAGAATACAGAAACCAATTTTATTTTGTGATCATTTTTATCTACCTCTATAGCTGTGAGCGAGACTGTTCTTCATGGAAGAAAGATTCTTGAAAAGAATAAACCCCGTAACGATGCATGTGCCATGTAAAATGTGAGGTTGCTTTTATTACCTGGGGTTGACAGGTATGGACAAGTTGATGAAAGTAGCTAGAATATTTGCTTTCACTTTCGTTTATTTGATAGATAAATATCATTTACTTGGTAGTGGAACAGCGTGTTTTCTGAAGTGGAAATACAAAGAAGTCTGGAAAGGTTTTTTTATGCCAAAGTAATTTATTACCTCCGAAGAATT